GAATCTTAAAAAAGACTCTCGTAACTTGCTAAAGTCAGTAGTGATCTTCGGCTAAAATGATAAAGTATTTAGAAAGCTTCCTGTCTATAACGAAGATTGTATGATATACTCATTGCTTCAGCCTCCGTTACAAACATGAACTACCTACAATGTTTCTATCTTGGAGAGGTTGTTGAACCTTGGCAAATGCTGAATTCTGTTACTGGACAGAAAGCTTCCGGGAAAAATGAAAGAGAAAAAGTAGAAGAGTTAAGTTATTTTCATGGTTTCTTAAAATGAATATTCTAGTATATGGATAATGACCATAAGCTTTAAAAGAAACACGATCTGTTTAGTTCAGCTTTCGCAAAGTAAATTTTATGGAACTATACGTATCAACAATTTTTACATTTGATCCCTGCTAGTTTGGAATATAGGTGCCCTTTGCACGCTCGTTGGATGCTGTCAGAAGATTTCTCTTCTCAGTAGCACTGTAACGAGACTGTATCAAGTCAGCCATATGACAAATAAATTTTGTTGTTTTGAACTCTCCCATAAAAGCATTACCTCCCACTGTTATTAACGCACGTACATCATGAACCACTAGTTACGTGAAAGAAAACGCTGTGAGAATTAGTCAAATTTTATTCGTACTTTTACAGATCATAATCACTTCGTCTAGTTCCCTGAAAAACGCAAAATATCCAGTCATCTTAACTTAACGCTTGGTGAAAAACTCAATTTACTGTGCATGAGTACCGTAATACGAATTGGATGCCACTTACAGCCTTTTCAATTGAGTGAGGTTGCCAAAGATATCCAGGGGCAAGCGCTTAATCCTGTTGTTTGACAAATCCCTTCGGATAGTAATTGGAAGAAAGGCTAAGCTAACTGTCAAACAAATTTCAGTACTTGATCTTCCTGACCCTTCCAGTGGGTGCTGGGTAAGGGTTAGAGCTTTATTATCCCCTAAGAGATTTTTTACTTATATGTATTTAGCATATGAGATAGTGCCTAGAAAACTTGAACAGAGGTAAGGAATCAACAACATGGAGAAATATATAGAAAGTAATGGCTAAATTGATTCCATTCAGTAAAACTATGAAATTCAGTAAAACTAGTGAAATCCCCGGCTCCTTGCGAGGAAATAATTAGAGTTTTTTTTTAATTTTATAAATAACAAAACACCATCTGGAGAGTATTCTGAGAGTATCTCAGGTGGAGGCAAAAGTGGCTGATGTGATTGAAAGCTAAGGTAATATATAGTGGATTATGATTTGCAAGAGTTGTAACTGGTTATCAATAGAAATAGCGCTACTCACATTTCTTTCAGCTTGGTGTTTGTGCTGAGAACACCTCGAGTCAAGTTGGGCAACTGGTTGTAAGATAGGTCCCTGACAATAAGACGTTGCACAGTTTTTTGGAAAATGTGTTAATTGCAAGGAAAG